AAACCCGCTCTTCCCCATTTGGACCTCACCTCTGAACCTCAGAGACTATAACTAGTGTCCACGGTCAGTGACTGGAGAAGCCCACAATGGCAGAAACTCCTGTGGGGCCTAATTCACCCACGATACTTAATTCAGGTCTCTGATAAGTTTTTCTCCCTCAACAAAATGGAACAGGTAGTCAGTCCTGCATTATAACCTCTTACCAACTCTGGAGCTTACTAGTATAAGCATGAGGGGAAACGTCAACATGCCAGGGACAGTTGAATAGAAATATCTTACATTCTGGATGACTTTACTGAATTGCTGAATTACCCTGAGATCACTTTCCTTTGGACTTCTTACGGTTTTAAACTACTGTTGTTGAATACCCCATTACTTATAGAGGGAAGAAATCCTGATGGGGTTGTGGGCTAGAGTAAGGATTTCTTTTTTAAAAAATATATATATTTTATTGATTTTTTACAGAGAGGAAGGGAGAGGGATAGAGAGTTAGAAACATCAATGAGAGAGAAACATCGATCAGCTGCCTCCTGCACACCCCCTACTGAGAATGTGCCCACAACCAAGGTACATGCCCTTGACCTGAATCGAACCTGGGACCCTTCAGCCCGCAGGCCGACGCTCTATCTACTGAGCCAAACTGGTTAGGGCATGGAGTAAGGATTTTTTTAAGGATGGAAGATATTTGCACAAATGGAATGTACTTGCAGATTAAGTCCTTTTATATTTTATAGACAAAGATGCCTATTGTTTTTTTTGTTATTCAATATTGGTTTTTAAGTTTTAGCCAATATAAGAAAATAAAATGAAAAATTACTATAAATATTGGTAAATAGTAAAATTTTTATTTTCAGATTAGAAGATTGTTTTCCTAGCAAAACAATCTAAGAAATTCTACTTTGTTTCACTTTTCTCATCTATAGAACTGATATAATAGTATCTACTTTATAGGGATATTATGAGAATTAAATGAGCTAATACACATAAAATACTTAGAACAATGTCTAGCCCTTTGTCAGTTTTCCATAAATGTTAGGCTATTATTTAAATAGTTGAATAAGGTAAGTGGATACAAAAGTAAAATACTTTTTAAAAAAAAAATTCATTTTAATAAATAGAATTTTAAAAATACATATATTTTTTGCATTTATTTTTTTCTTTATTGTTGAAAGTATTACAGATGTCCCCTTTGTTTTTTTTCTCCCCATTGACCCCCCTCTACCCAACACTTGCCCCTCTCAGGCCTCTATTATCTGTGTTCATATATGCATACTAGAGGCCCGGTGCATGAATTCGTGCACGGGTGGGGTCTGGCTGGCCCACCCTGATGGGGGCACATAGGGGCGGGGCCGGCTGGGGGGAGGGGCCTTAGGAGGACTCCAGGGCGTGTCTGGCCCTTCTCGCTCAGCCCTAATTGGCCTGACCTCAGCAGCAAGCTAACCTACTGGTCGGAGAGTGGTCAGTGTACGTCATAGTGACTGGTCGACTGTCTGCCCCCTGGTGGTCAGTGCACAGTCACAGTGAGAGGTTGAGCGGCCTTAGTATATCATTAGCATATTGCGCTTTGATTGGTTGAACGGATGATCAGACACTTAGCATATTAGGCTTTTATTATATAGGGTAAGTTTCCTGTTAATCACTCCCAACCCACTGCCCCACCCCCACCTTCCCTCTGAAATTCATCAGTCTGTTCCATGCTTCTATGTCTCTGGATCTATTTTGTTCATCAGTTTGTTTTGTTCATTACATTTCACATATGAGTGAGATCATGTGATACTTACCTTTCTCTGACTGGTTTATTTTGCTTTGCATAATACTCTCCAGGTCCATTTATGCTGTTGCAAATGGTAAGAGCTCTAGAATTTTAAAAAGATTTAAAAATATAGGTTCCATGAGGGCAGGGATTTTTATCTTCATTCAGTTTTATCCCCACACTAGAATATTATTTGGCACATAGAAAGTGTTCCACAAATATGTATTTGTTGAGTGAAATAACACACATAAAAACATAGTACAGCCCTAGCTGATTTGGCTCAGTGGATAGAGTGCTGGCCTGCAGACTGAAGGGTCCCGGTTCGATTCCAGTCAAGGGCACATGCCTGATTGTGGGCTCGATCCCCAGTAAGGGGCATGCAGGAGGCAGCTGATCAATGATTCTCTCTCATCACTGATGTTTCTATCTTTCTCTTCCTCTCCCTTCGTCTCTGAAATCAATAAAAATATATTAAAAACAACAACAACACATAGTACAGGGTCATAGCAGGCATTCAATAAAAGCTGGTTTCCTTGCTTCCTTTTTGTTAAATTATAAAATCCAGCATGTTTCAAGGTTCCAAATAACCCTAGGTAACTCCTTGAAGTTGGAATCTAATAAGGACTCATAGAATCAGCCAGAATACTTGGATTCTGTATTAGCCTGCTAGGGCTGCCATAAGAAATTACCACTGACTGGGTGGCTTAAAAACAGAAACTTATTATCTCAAACTCTGGAGGCTAGAAGTCCGAGGTCAAGGAACCAGCAGGTTTGGTTTCTGAAGCCTCTCTCCTCAGCTTGCAGATGGCTGACTTCCTGCTTTATTTTCACATGGTTGTCCGTCTGTGTGGACACCAGTCATTCAGTTAGGGCTCACCATAGCAACCCCACTTTAACAATTACCTCTTTGCAGTCACTTTCTGAGGTACTGGAGGTTACCACTTCAACATACACATTGGGGGAGGGGGGTGGGCAGCACAGTTCAGTCCTTAACAGATTCTATCCCTTGTGGGGTTTTGTGATTGGGTTGAATCCCCTCCCCTCTTTGGGCGTCAGTGTCCTCCCAGCTTAAAATGAAGTTTGTGGCTCTTGCTCTGAATGCTGACCATCAATAGTTTGCTTGCTGGCTTTCCTGTGAAAATCCTCTTGAGTTCTAGCACAACCAGAAATAAAGGAATGAATAATGGCAGAAATTGAAGGCCAACTGTCATCAACCCTGCATGCATGTAGTAGGGAGGAGGAAATAAATGAGAAACTCCACGTAGTGTTCACAGGAGAAAGTCGGCTGTAGAACTTCCAGTGGGAGAGAAGCAGGGTTGGGAGGAGAAAGAATTAACATATTTGGGAATTACTCTATACCAGACTGTAATCTCACCGAATCTTCACAACTCATCGAGGTGGATATTATTACTTGCATTTTACTGGTGAGAACACAGAGGCTCAGAATGTTGAGTTGGGTTTTGTTATTTCAGTCTACCTAGAACTCCGAGAACACGCACAAGTCACTCTGCCTTTAGCCGTAGTTGAATAAATTCAGTAGCAAAGCACCTGGCCCTAAAGAGGTGCTGATAATTGGTTATTTGTTGGCCCCGCACACTTGGCTTTAGGCAGCAGAGGCCTGAGAGAAACAACATCCCACTCTTATATTCTGTCCCAGATTCTGCATTGATGTCTCTACAAAAGGCCAGCCACCATGATCATTTTAGATCTGTGTAACGCCATCAGATCTACTAGGGATATGAACCCCCATTCTTAGGAGAGGCCTGCCCGCCCCTCATGCCTCCAGGACCAAGCCTGACAAATATAGCAGAAATTACAGGCATCTGATTTAAGGCTACATGTGTACACTTCGCCCGAGCCAAGCCCCAAACCCTAGTTCTGCTGCTGCATCAAAGGACCATCTCTCTTCCAGGCTCCAGGCTCAGAGTAAGCAGCAATTTGGGAGACAGCCCCCTCTTATTTTTAGCCTTAAAAACCCAAAACCAAAACATACCAGCGCTCACCCAAGCGTCTCTCACAAGCTGTTGTTTGATTTGGGTTGAGAAAATGACAGACTGAGTTCTGCATCAAGAACAGCAGAAAAAAAAAGAGGGGGGGGTGAGAAGGAGTTTTATTTTCCCTCCACTGCCAACCTCCATCGTCCTCAACTCCTCCCCTAGGCCTGGGTGGACCCTGCCTGGGTAGTCGTCCCCCTGCTATATTTAAAAACCACAGATGTTTGGTGGAAACTCAATTTCGGAATTGCAGACGGCGTCTCCTAAGGACAAGGGGAAAGCCGGAGCCGCGCGCCCGTGGCCCGCCCGCCCTGCCTGCTGCCCGGAGCTCCGGACTCGGCGGAATCCAGGTCAGGACGCGCCGCCGTCTTGGAGGTACCGCTGGCCCGGAGGAGCGGGGCGCCAGGCTCCGACGGTGGGGTGGGTGGCCGCCGGCGAGGGGTTGTGTCTGCATTCGTCCTCGGGTCTCTCTGGACTCAATGAGGTGCGGGCTCGACTTGCACACTGCCGGCCGGGAAGCGATCTGAAAATTCCCCCCACGGGCGGGCGAGGATAAATACGCGCGGCTTGTCATTCGGCGCAGCGCGCTCTCTCCCAGCTGATAGGGTGACGTTCAGTGTGGAGGCGCAGAGATTGGCTTTTTGATTTGGCTTCTTGCTGCAGCTCAGTGGGCAAAGCTCTCGGCTCTCCCAGAAACCAGCCCCTCCGCGCGTCCCCTCCGTGCGCGGCGAGGCCGAGACGTCGCTCG